TGCGGCGATGGCATCAGAGGGGGGACAGCGCTGCGCGGGGAGCAACATGTACGAGGACGAGGATCGCGGCCCGTGTCTTTCCCACTCGATCAGCTGTGAGCACTGTACGCGTTGCGCGCCGAATATTTATGAGCACACCTACCTTCCGTCGAATAAACCAGTACCTAGACCTTTAATCAGCATCATCATTTACCTCTATACAGTCCAAAAACTCTCCCCAACAATTATTATTATTTCTGTTTCAGGCTATGAAAATTTAATTAAGGATGGAGTGCTGACACCTCTCGGTGGCTTTAGGGATGTGTATGATGAGAAGGTTCTCCCCCAAGTATCTTTGGAATTTCCTTTCGCTTTGAGATGGATGCACACCGTACAGGATGGTTCTTTGAAGTGAGTTTAGGAATCATATTCCGAATGTCGGAATATTTAATGTTGACATATTATTATAAAAGTGGTATTTTGTAACTTATTGCCTTAGTAAACAAACATTATTTATATATTTAATCAAATATCTGACAAGTATAAATTCCTTAATGACATAAATTAACTAAAAATCGCGGGTTACTCACGTGTATATACTGAGGAAGAACCCCTCTGTGGTTCGAAACTAGTAGAGCTTTTCTCAGTATATTCACGTGAGTAACCCACGATTTTTAGTTAATTTTGTATTTCTCACGATAGTTATTATAAAAATCATGAATGAGACCGATTTTTTAGTGGATGTGGGGGAATCTAGTGTATTTAGTCTTTAAAAGGAACGAATACCAACAATTACTATTGTCATAATTGTGTAAATGAAACCTCTTTGTGATTTACAGAATGTACGATTTAGAAGGTCATTACTTAAAGCAGTTCCCCATAGTAAACCTCACTTTGAGAACTGGGTTCTTTGCCGTTGATGACAACATTGATTACATCACTCAAGGCAGCTTTAGACAGGGAAGCGCCAAGATTGACTACATTGCTGATCCCGATGTAAGTAGAATAAGTGGGAATACTAGACAAACTGAATGAGGTGCAGTCGAGCGATCAATAAAAAGTTTGTCTTCTTCGAGGTCATGTCAGCAAATAGCCTGCCATACACATCAAAGTCAAAGTCAAGATCATTTATTACAATTAAACCGGGAAGGCACTTTTGATCGTTAAAACAAAATATTGGATTTTATTAAAAAAAAAGTGACAGTCTGTCGGTCAGTCCTCTAAGACTAGTGAAGATATTTGCTCGTTCCAAAGTGTACATTCCTATGGAGAAGAACGAGCAAGAAACTACATAGCTTACTCTTTTTCAATCAGATACACAATACAATATTCTTGGTTACATTGTTTCCTTATAGTCTTAGATTCAAGCTTTTTGGGGAGAAAGATTAGGGATTGTGATTGGAAATCTTACCTCATTAAAACTTCTCTAGAGGTCATAATCATAAGGACCATCGGGTTGTCTAATTATGCAACGCCTTACGGTACACTACTAATATCTGGGAGCTGCTACACACACAATTGACTGACAGACTGTTGGACAATTTTATTTCGACTTCTTATTTTGACTTTGAATATATATTATTTAGGTTTAATATTCAATATCAACTATGATTATTTTATATTTCAGATAACAGAACAGGGATTGGGACCTCACCAAAGTGTATCAGATTTGATGACCAATGACATGGCCAAAAACCGATACTTCGGATTCCAACCTTACGTTAAGTACAGAGAAGCATGCTTCGGAAAGCCAATACGCTCGTTCTATGATCTTAACGGAATTGTCGATCCTGAGGTATAAATTTATGCCTAGATTTTTGTTTTATTTAATTAGTTTGTGAGAGAGATTGTCTCCATTTCTAACAACCAACATGAGGTTGATATAATAACTTATCTATAAATATGTATTACTAGCTTCTGCCCGCGACTTCGTTCGCGCAATCCCGTTTTCTCCCGTTCCCGTAGGATTTTCAGGATTTTTTTCTGTCATAAGAACCTTCTCCTGACAATAACAAACACAACTTTTTATCATCGCACCGCTCGCCATCGACAGGGGGTTCACGCTCACTCATTGGAGCCAAAATGGTCCCGTACAGTTCGGTTTCAGAGGAATTTTCTCCCACGGACCCTCCGATTGTGGAATGAGCTGCCTGCCGTGGTTTTCCCAGTGGGCTACAACATGAGGTTTTTCAAGAGGGCGGTGAATAGGTTTTTAAGGGTCGGCAAGACGCATGTAATGCCCCAAGTGTTGCAGGCGTACATAGGCCACGGTAACCGCTTACCATCAGATGGGCCGTGTGCTTTTTTACCACCGTCGTGGTATAGGGAAACGGGTTTTATTTTTATAAATATGTACTAATAGTAGGTAGATTAACTTTACTAGGGTTTTTTAAAACATCACAAAGGAGATCGTAGCTATAATTTTATTTATTGTTCTTACTATTTCAGAGAATTGAGCTTCTCAGAGATCTTTATGAAAAGGTAGAAGATGTAGATCTTTTAGCTGGTATTTGGGTGGAAAAGCCAATTTATGGTGGATATGTTCCTCCAACATTCTACTGCCTGACCATTGACCAGCTGAGGAGGAATATGGTAGCTGATAGACATTGGTATGAGAGACCAAATCGACCCAATGCTTTTAACGCACGTAAGTACCTACTTTGAAAAATGCTATATTGAATAAATGAATGAGATAATCACTAATTACTTTTACATTTAGTAGGCATTTCTAAATTCGTATAAAGTAAGTAACGTCATGTCTAACATTCTCTGCTCACTCAAAAAATCAACTGGTAAAGAATATCTACATCCTTGTACTGGTTTTGTGCATAAAATTTAAATAAAATAAATATTTATGAGTCTTGTACTGTTATTCGACTCAATTATTGAATTGATTTAATTTTTAATGTGGTGCAATTTTATGATATTTTTGGGGTCTGAAGTCTGATGCAAAATTAAATTAATTGATTTACCCTGAAGGCAGATCATGTCAAGTGTATGTTATTGTGCTTAACCAATTTGTTTTATTTTTAGTACAACTGGGTGAAATAAGGAAATATACCATTGCAAGATTCCTGTGTGACGTTGGAGACAAAGTGACCAAGATCCAACCACATGCCTTCTTGAAGGCAGGATTCAAGTATGTTATGCCGTAATTGTTATTTCTTTACAACCATATTCATTTTGTCTTTTGACGGCTCAATGGCCTAAATGAATTTAGTCCGATGATTTTTTGTCTAGACTAGTTATAGGAATCTCTATTTACTTTTTTAAATTATGAATCTCCTCTGTATGACCCTTGGACTTATTCTTGGAGTAGATTATTTAACATTAGCGACCTCTTTAAAGATTCATAGATTTTTCATCTATCTAAAAGGTTGCACAATTTATTGTAAATATGAGAGCCCTGTAATTAATTAAATCAGATTGGACTAGTAGATTGCATTTATGTCAGCTTGGAGTTGTCATGCTCACTCAGAGATCTCGTTGGCGGTGGCACGTGCATTGGATCGCTCGATTCCCTACAAAATGGTTGAGTTGGGCGGTGCTAGGGTTCGCCAAATGTTCGTGAACGGGCACCGTCGATTGGAACTGGTCAGCTCCAGACTGTATCATTTTATTTTATTATCTTCAAGGTTATTTTCTTTTTCAGTCTTTCTGACTGGATTTAGGTGTTGCATTGTTCTCACATAATCGAACCAATAAAACTATGTAACTAGAGAATTGTATTGTAAACCTGATTGAAAAAGAGTAACCTATGGAGTTTCTTGCTCGTTCTTCTCCATAGGAATCTACGCCTTGGAATGAGCAACTAGCTTCACTTATAAATTTTTGTTGTTTGACGTTCAAAAGTGCCATCCTGGTCTAATTGAAATAAATGATTTTGACTTTGACTTTGATCTATAACTCCTTCAAATAGATTAAATTTTCTTTTTATTCCTCATTTTGAACTATTTTGTTTTTTTTACAGCAACGAAATGGTTGGTTGTGAAAATATACCTGCAATGAATTATGAAGCCTGGAGGGATTTAAATTGTGGACTGCCAACATATTTCAATCAGTATGGTAAAAACGTCGCAAAGTGATTGGTGTTATTAAGTTATATAAGATTTTGAGGTTGTTGACCTATTGGAACAAGCTCCTGATACCAATTAAATCAAGATTATGACCTCAAGTTGATAGTCGATCTTATAAATACATTAAATTAATAAATATATTTCATTTAGGTTTATTTTTGTTTCATTTCTAACAAGACACCTTACACGTTTATAAACATTTCTAAAAAATATATATTTTATTTTAACACGCATGTTTAAATATAGAAAAACTGATATTTTAAAAAAAGCAAGGTTCCACCGAGATTTGAACTCGGATCGCTGGATTCAAAGTCCAGAGTGCTAACCATTACACCATGGAACCGGTTGTCAAGTGATGCGAAATAGCGCTTCCCTTTCACTACAGCTTAAGTTATGTTTTTGTTGTGACGTCACTTATTGATATTGCTCTCACGACGTTACCTACATACATTCAGTAATGTAATCATTATAGTTACTTGATCTTTGAAACAATTATGTATAGATTTTTGAGTTACAGAAAAAATCTTTACTAATTCGTTGGTCAAGTGATCGCAAGCGCAGCTACCGTGCAAGAAGACTCAAGTTTGATTCCCGAGTCGGGTAAATTATTATGAAAAATTCGTAGTAACTAAAACGGAGTCTAGAAATATACCTGGTATATGGCATTATTGGCTTACTTCTGTAATATTCTATTCATGGGATTAAAAGATTGAGGACAATGGGTTTTGCGACAAATAAACCCTTTTATGGTGGCAATAAACTAAACCATATCTGTAGTTTATGTATTTTTGGAATAACATCTTAATGAGAAAATAGACGAAATGAAATTCAACATTTATACTTGCAAACTTTAATCAGAAATCTGAGATACATAGTACATCAAATAACAACACTAGGAACATCATTACCATAACAGAAAATATTATAAAATTGCAATCATATATACATGAGGCGTACGTTTATCCACTTTACTACAACAGTGGGATAATAACATGTTACTAAAGTAGTATAGGTGAAATCATTCGAATTTAAATATTTCATAAAATAATAGAAAATTGATTACAAATTATTATAGTAGATGATAGAGCGATATCCCTCATTCTTGCCTGTGTTGCTATTTTGTGTGTTTCAATTTCAAGTCATAATAGGTATAAGAATCAACTCATCCAGTTTCACCACCAAGTTAAGCCACCAATTAATTTATCAAGTACAGACTTTTGTGTGGTCGTAGTCGTCGTCGTTGTTCGCAAGACCGGTATATCATCTTCCTCACAGTAAGAGTCAATTGCATCCAGTTCAATTGCTTCAGTGGCAACAGCTTCAGTTGTCACTGGCGTAGTGACGTCAACTTTGGTAGTCTCTTCAACGGCTTCTGATTCCGATGGCTCAGTTTCTACTCTAATAGCAGTATCAGATATTTCAGTGGTAATGTCCTCACTAATTACATTTACTGTAGATGTTTCATAAGTTACTTCGTCAACTGAGACTGGATTACTAGTTGTAGTTTCTGCGTCATCAGTTAGTCTTTCATTACTACTGGTGGGGTGTTCATCATTAGTAGACTCTGATTCAGGAGTATCGATTATAACCTGTTCAGTAGATGACACTTCCGAGCTAATTTCTAATATAATGTCGCTTGTACTAGTCGATTCAGTTGTGGAAGATTCAAGAGAAATCTCTTCGGTCAAACCAGTGGTAGTTTCGATTCGAACAGATGGGTTGAAAGTAATTTCTTCGACAGGAACTGTACTCATAGTGTTATCAAAAAGTTTAGTTACTTCTTCGTTACAACCAACGTTTGAAGTACTTTCGATCGTTTCATCACACGGTGCATTGGTTATTGGCTTGTGTGAGACTGGTTCAGACACTGTAGTTTCAGAATTGGTAACTTCAACAGTAGTTTTTTCAAAATTAATGTCTTCCTCTGTTACGGTATTACTGGTCGTTGCTTCAGAAGTGGACGATTCAAATGTTGTTTCTTCGAAAGAAGCTAAACTAACTGTTGTACTACTAGTGGACTCTGTTATATCTTCACTACAATAAGCATCCAAGCTACCAGCAGCTGATTCATCACAAGGTGCATGAGTTATGTCTTCAAGTGAGGCCGACTCAGATGTAGTGGTCTCAACATCAGCAGCTTCAGATGTAATATCTTCAATTACAATTATTTTAGCAGTCGTTGCATCAAGAGTAGTTTCAAATGTATTCTCTTCGGCAGAGTTTGTACTTACGGTACTACCCGTCGATTCTGTTATATCTTCACTACAATAAGCATCCAAGCTACCAGCAGCTGATTCATCACAAGGTGCATGAGTTATTTCCTCAAGCGAGGCAGACTCAGATGTTTTAGTTTCAGAATCAACAGCTTCAGACGTAACATCTTCAACTATAATTGTTTCAATAGTCGTTGCATCGTGAGTAGAAGTTTCAAAAGTAATTTCTTCTACAGAGTTTGGAGTTACGGAACTACCCGTCGATTCTGTTACATCTTCACTACAATAAGCATCCAAGCTACCGGCAGCTGATTCATCACAAGGTGCGTGAGTTATTTCTTCAAGTGAGGCTGACTCAAATGTAGTAGTCTCATCAGCAGCTTGAGATGTAACATCTTCAACTATAATTGATTGAGTAGTCGTGGCTTCAAGAGTAGAAGTTTCAAAGGTATTATCTTCGACAGAGTTTGGATTCACAGTATTAACTGTGGGTTTTGTTACATCTTCATTACAAATAGCGTCCACGCTATCAGCAGCTGATTCATCACAAGGAGCATGAGTTATTTCCTCTAGCGAGGCAGACTCAGATGTTTTAGTTTCAAAATCAACAGCTTCAGGCGTAACATCTTCAACTATAATTGTTTCAATAGTCGTTACATCGTGAGTAGAAGTTTCAAAAGTAATTTCTTCGACAGAGTTTGGACTTGCGGTACTACCCGTCGATTCTGTTACATCTTCACTACAATAAGAATCAAAACTACCAGCAGCTGATTCATCACAAGGTGCATGAGTTATTTCTTCAAGTGAGGCCGACGCAGGTGTAGTGGTCTTATCAGCAGCTTGAGATGTAACATCTTCAACTATAATTGATTGAGTTGTCGTGGCTTCAACAGTAGAAGTTTCAAAGGTATTATCTTCGACAGCGTTTGGATTCACAGTATTAACTGTGGGTTTTGTTACATCTTCATTACAAATAGCGTCCAAGCTACCAGCAGCTGATTCATCACAAGGTGCATGAGTTATTTCCTCAAGCGAGGCAGACTCAGATGTTTTAGTTTCAGAATCAACAGCTTCAGACGTAACATCTTCAACTATAATTGTTTCAATAGTCGTTGCATCGTGAGTAGAAGTTTCAAAAGTAATTTCTTCTACAGAGTTTGGACTTACAGTACTACCCGTCGATTCTGTTACATCTTCACTACAATAAGTATCCAAGCTATCAGCAGCTGATTCATCACAAGGTGCGTGAGTTATTTCTTCAAGTGAGGCCGACTCAAATGTAGTAGTCTCATCAGCAGCTTGAGATGTAACATCTTCAACTATAATTGTTTCAACAGTTGTTGCATCGTGAGTAGAAGTTTCAAAAGTAATTTCTTCCACAGAGTTTGGATTCACAGTACTGACTGTAGATTTTGTTACATCTTCATTACAACTAGCGTCAACGCTACCAGCAGCTGATTCATCACAAGGTGCATGAGTCATTTCTTCAAGTGAGGCCGACTCAGGTGTAGTGGTCTTATCAGCAGCTTGAGATGTAACATCTTCAACTATAATTGATTGAGTAGTCGTGGCTTCAACAGTAGAAGTTTCAAAGGTATTATCTTCGACAGCGTTTGGATTCACAGTATTAACTGTGGGTTTTGTTACATCTTCATTACAAATAGCGTCCAAGCTACCAGCAGCTGATTCATCACAAGGTGCATGAGTTATTTCCTCAAGCGAGGCAGACTCAGATGTCTTAGTTTCAGAATCAACAGCTTCAGACGTAACATCTTCAACTATAATTGTTTCAATAGTCGTTGCATCGTGAGTAGAAGTTTCAAAAGTAATTTCTTCTACAGAGTTTGGACTTACAGTACTACCCGTCGATTCTGTTACATCTTCACTACAATAAGTATCCAAGCTATCAGCAGCTGATTCATCACAAGGTGCGTGAGTTATTTCTTCAAGTGAGGCCGACTCAAATGTAGTAGTCTCATCAGCAGCTTGAGATGTCACATCTCCAATTATAATTGTTTCAACAGTTGTTGCATCGTGAGTAGAAGTTTCAAAAGTAATTTCTTCCACAGAGTTTGGATTCACAGTACTGACTGTAGATTTTGTTACATCTTCATTACAACTAGCGTCAACGCTACCAGCAGCTGATTCATCACAAGGTGCATGAGTCATTTCTTCAAGTGAGGCCGACTCAGGTGTAGTGGTCTTATCAGCAGCTTGAGATGTAACATCGTCAACTATAATTGATTGAGTAGTCGTGGCTTCAACAGTAGAAGTTTCAAAGGTATTATCTTCGACAGCGTTTGGATTCACAGTATTAACTGTGGGTTTTGTTACATCTTCATTACAAATAGCGTCCACGCTATCAGCAGCTGATTCATCACAAGGAGCATGAGTTATTTCCTCGAGTGAGGCAGACTCAGATGTTTTAGTTTCAGAATCAACAGCTTCAGACGTAACATCTTCAACTATAATTGTTTCAATAGTCATTGCATCGTGAGTAGAAGTTTCAAAAGTAATTTCTTCTACAGAGTTTGGACTTACAGTACTACCCGTCGATTCTGTTACATCTTCACTACAATAAGTATCCAAGCTACCGGCAGCTGATTCATCACAAGGTGCGTGAGTTATTTCTTCAAGTGAGGCCGACTCAAATGTAGTAGTCTCATCAGCAGCTTGAGATGTAAAATCTTCAACCATAATTGTTTCAACAGTTGATGCATCGTGAGTAGAAGTTTCAAAAGTAATTTCGTCCACAGAGTTTGGATTCACAGTACTGACTGTAGATTTTGTTACATCTTCATTACAACTAGCGTCAACGCTACCAGCACCTATCTCTATCACATCTTCTCTACAATAAGTATCCAAGCTAGCATCGTCTGTTTCATCACAGGGTGCATGAGTTATGTCTTCAAGTGAAACCGACTCAGATATTTCAGATTCAGCAGGATCAAACGTAACTTCTTCATCCAAAACGGCGGTCGTGATTTCAGAAGTAGATGATACTGTGGAATCAGTAATATCTTCATTGCATTCAGCCTCCAGACTATCAACCGTTGTTTCGTCACAAGGTGCATTTGTGATTTCTTCAAACGCGACTGTCTTAGAAGTAGTTGTCTCTTTATCTTCAGCCTCAAAAATAGTAGTTGAAGGTATAAGCAAGGAATCTGTGACATCTTCCCTACAAACAGTCTCTATATTGTCATACACAGTTTCATTACAAGGCGAATTCGTGATTTCTTCAAGAGAAACAGACTTAGACGTGGTTGTCTCGTTATATTCAAAAGGTACCTCTTCCGTAGAAATAGGAGGTAAAGTACTAAGTGCAGAATCTGTGGCATCTTCAATACAGCTGGTATCTACATTGGCATCCACGGTTTCTTCACAAGGAGCATCAGAAATGCCATCAAGTGAAACAGATTTAGCCGTTGTTGTTTCATTATGTTCAAAAGACTCATCTTCAACAGAAACAGGAATTGAAGTACTAAGCGAGGAGTCTGTAACATCTTCACTGCAAATAACATCTTCACCGCTGTTCACAGTATCATCACAAGGCGCATTCGTAATATGATCAGGAGAAATAGACTTGGATGTTGTTATCAAATAATCCTCCAAAGATATATCTTCAACAGGGACACGTGTTGACGAACTAAGCGACAAATCTGTTACATCTTCACTACAGCCAGGGTCTAAGCTAAAATCAGTTGTTTCATCACAAGGTGCATCAGAAACTTCTTCGAGTACATCTTCGTTGCATCCAGCATCAACGACAACATCAATAAATTCATCGCAAGGTGCGTCTGTAATTCCTTCATACGTACCAGGATGAGAAGTAGACGTTTTAGGCGTTGATATTTTAGCAGTTGTAGTTTTCGAAGTTGACGTCTTCATTGTTGATGATTTATAAGTTGTTGTACTAGAAACCGATGAGCCAGTAGTAACTGTAGGCTTAGCAGAAGAAACGACAATACTAATATCCGCCTCAGTGGAAGTGGTGGAAAAAGCAGACTCAGTAGTGGAAGCAACAGTGGTTTCTGATTCCGTTGCAGCATCAGTGGTGACGTCAGATACCTCAGTGGTAACGACTACAATGCTGTCAGCCTCAGTGGTAGTGGTGGAAGAAGCATCGGCTTCGGTGGTCACTCCTTCGACGCCAGACTCAGTAGTGGAAGCGACAGTGGTTTCTGATTCCGTTGCAGCATCAGTGGTGACGTCAGATACCTCAGTGGTAACGACTA